ACAATTTCGGGGATTACTGAGCTGAAGCTGTGCAGCACGAGAACAACTTCCTCGATAGTATAGTGGTTAGTATCCCCGCCTGTCACGCGGGAGACCGGGGTTCAATTCCCCGTCGGGGAGATGAAAATTCTTTTTTTCCTAAAAATATCCACTATGAGCATAATATTGTTTTTGCTCCCTATTAAATTCTTAACTTATAACTTGAGTAAGTAAAGTTAAGTTTGAAAGAGACTTTTAATATATTTGTAAGAAAATAATTTTATTTCTCTTGATTTTATCGCTATAATCAAATGATGAGGTTGAGTTCCGATAATTTCATTTCATACTAATCCAAACTATTTTCATTTACAACATTTATAAAAAGCAATTAAAAAAAATTTAATTCTCCCCGAAGCGGATCCGAACGCCGGTCTACCGCGTGACAGATGGGGATACTAGCCACTTTACTATCGAGAACCTAAGAATAAGTGCCAGTAGGTGATGTTTTATAAATAATAAATAATTTTTTGTTGACTTCCAACTGTCAAAAAACAATATTGGCAAAAAATCTATTCAGGTGTGGTCTGAACGAACTCAAAAGCTTAGCACGATTTAATATTTATAACTATTCATTATATATTATATTATATAATATTCCTCCTAATGCTACAAGTACATATATACTTATTAATAAGTGCGCTAGTCACAAGAATTATTCCAATTTCTTCAGATAATTACATAAATGTTAGAGATTTTTTTGGATTTCCAAAGTTAAAGTCAACAAAGAGCAGCAATTTTTGGTGTCAACTCAATGGTGTTTATATCTAATAATTCGAATGGCTCTGAACGATGTTCTCCTCAATGTGGTTAAAATCCGGAAATAAATTATACAGAATCGCAAATGTAATCGATGGGGGTGGAGGTAGACACGACTTTAAAGCGATGTAAAGGATGAAAATGCCAACGGGGTGTGAAATTGAAGCGGTTTGTGCGATATGCAAATGCAGCTTGGACCGGTTTTGGCAACGGTGTGTTCCCGGTTCAGAGTTTACGCTATGTCCTGCCGAGTCCTTGACATTTTCCGGTGGCGCCAATGTCCGACCCGAAAAACGCCTCCCTGGCCCCAACATTCGTCAGCGTTTTAATCGCGTTTGTGCATTTGCTCGGAAAAGTCTAAAATTGAACGCAAGTGATGGCAATTTGTACGCTTCGCTGTGCCTGAGAATTTACGGACGTGCAGAGGGCAAACACGAAGGACGCAGGAGGGATTGAATGGGGAGTGTGCCGAAATTAATATGCGTCGGCTTTCAGGGAGTGGGACAAACTTTGCCGGCAAGGGATTTGGCCGCTGTTGGCCATTTTCTTGTTTTTTTTTTTTTACTTTTGGCCGGCAGCAGTAGCGTTGGCTCGTGATTAATGTGGCAAATGCGCAGTTATAAATTATTTATTACTATTCTTCGCATTGTTTCCTGAGGCGTGTACGAATTGGTAAGACATTTAAGCCATATTTTCAAGTGCCACAAAAGGTCAAAAAGGGGATGAAATCTGCGTGATGCCATTTTAAAATTCATGCCGCATAGCGGGGCCAGTTAACACAAAATTGTTTTGTAAAATATTGACACACAACTTTAAAAAACTTAGTTTAAAAAAATATAAACTTAAAAAGCGAAATATTTTTGTGTCAGTTTTATAGGTTAAACCTCTTGACAAAAGAAATACTAGTTGATATATATCAAGGCAGGGTGTCTATTTTTCTTTAAACTAAATGTAATATGAGTTGAATACCAAATATTTCATGTCACTTTGTTTCTTTAAAGAAATAAGGATAATACAAAAGTTGTTCTCCTAAATGAAACTCCTGTTGACTCATACTTTTAGAAATTCTGAACTGCCGGCCATTACAAGCAACTGTGCCACTTCCAATTCCTCCTCAAACCTTAATTCCCAATGAAAACATTTCACAAATTAAACGACAAAGCCGGCTAATACGTGTTTCCTCTTCCCATTTTCTCCGGATCCACGGAATAGGAATTTTTTTGCTTTATATTTTTTCTCGTGTCCTTCTCGTTTTGGTGTGTTTAATTTTTTATTGTGAAAGTTTTGTACTCCGGTCGATCTCAATGGGTGACACTGTCAGCGATTGAAATTTATTTCGCATGCACTTTTTAAATCGAACAAAAATAGATTCCTTCCGCCATATTGAAACACCAGGAAAGCGAACAGGACAAGGCGGTTGGGCTGGGGCGCTAGATGTCGTATATTGATGGAAAAAGCAATTGAAAACTTCATCATGGTTGCAACAATATTTTTACAACGAAATTGGCACAAAAATGTGTCCACGAACTTTTCCCGCAAAGCGTTAGAAAACCGGGTCCAAAAGAGGGGCTAAAATGGTGAGGAGTGGCAGGGGGCGGGGTGCGGGGGGCTGGGAAAACTTTTGTGCCAGTTACCGACCACGCCCACGTCAACCCATGACATCAACGCCCTGTCACGAATAAAAACTAAATTGATAACATTTTTCAGCTTGTTCTGGTTTTTCGGCCACTTTTTTCGCCCGTTTCTCTATATATATACATTTTTTTTTTTTGTATTTTTGAGTCGGAACTTTTCTAGACGCGCGCAGCGCCATTGTTGTTGTTATTTAGTGCACCACCATGATGGGATCTTTTTATGCGATGCCTTCGTCCCGGGCAATTTGTAATCTAAACAACATAGCCCGGCTAACCGTTCCCCAAATCCATGCCGCATATCCTTAAATCCTGGCAAGGCAAGCCCTGGAAATCTGACTATAGACGCAGCTCGGTGGGTTAGGGACTATATGTAAAAATGTCGATTTAGTATTAACACCATGAAGGGAAATCAAAGTGGAATAAGAACAAAGTAGCGAAAAATATAAATTGGAGGGGCATTTGAGCTTGTTAATACCTTATGATGGGAATTCGGTTTTTTATAGTTATTTGGTGGTTATGTATGTATAAATTAAGACTTAAAATGAATATATACTTCTTTATAAAAAATAGAATGCAATAATAATAAATAAAAGAAAAGGTATTACCGAACACTGTACTTTAATTTAATTTAAAAATAATTATTTTTTGTGTGCATTGTACAACATATTTTGCATTGCCATTTCCCAGAAGCGAACTGTATGACACCGCACTGCACTCAATCTATATAAAATCCGATATACCCGGCGGCAACACGGAAAGTAATGGGATCATAAATGGCTGCAAGCAATAAAGAAAATGGCGGCTGACAACAGCTTCAGGTTTGGCTGCTTCTTTTTTGGCCAGGATGTGGCAGCTTGTTGATGATAAACTCTTATGACCCACATTGGCGGGAGGTGTGGCGGGGATAACCGGGGTAACCGGGGTAACGGAGGTCAGGGGGGTTCGGGGCGGGGTTCGGTAGCGTCGAAAAGTGGGCGAATTGCCAACACACATATGTGAGTGTGTGAAAGGAATACAAACGTAGACCCACACATATGGCCACACACAAGGTTGGCAGCTGCATCCGGCGGAAGTTTGTGGCAACACTCGGTGCCCTCACATGCCAATGGACCCAACCAACACACACTTTCAAGTTAGTTATAAACGTTTATCGATATTATCTATTCGCCGGCCCACTCTCGCGCGCTCTTGGCAAAGTTTTCGCTGGCTGCAGACAATAAAATGCAAACAAATCACTGCGCGAAAACTTCACAACATGGCGGCAAAGAATGTCGATTTATGGGTGCCAAGTGGAAATATTATCAAAACTATGACTTTGCAGGCGACGGGTTGTGGGTATGGGTGCTCAAAATATTGCCCCCCAGGGCTGCGGACCCCAAATTCGCTTGTTTATTGGCTGAGTTTCTGGGTTTTGCGAGTGGCGAAAATAAAAATTCATTCTATATGCGCCGAGCATTCAGTGTCAGTGGTGGAGTTTCACCAAATGAAACTTTACTTTTGCGAAAAATGCACTGAAATTGAAATATACAATGAAAATGTTCGCTATATGTGAAACTTTTTAATTAAAAATAATCAACAGAGATAAAATATTATTTGAACTTACTAAATCAAATTTAGTGGATTTAGTTTTTTAAATTCCGTATGCTAAATTTCTGAAACTTTTTGATTGTCTTTTCAACGATTTTCCGATTCAAAGATCGACCCACTTAACACACCTGCTAGCGCCATAAATTTCAATCAAATACTGAGCAAAAAGGAATTATTTTCGAAATATTTTTATCAGTTTTGTGGGTAGAGAAACTCATTTCGCACATAATGTTCAGTTGGCTGCCATTCGATAGGCGACCCCTTTCACAAAGTCAAACCTGAAAAAAGACGTAACGGCAGACAGGCATTGCATGATGAATGACAATTTTAACCCGATTTATATGGGCAATGCGATGAGTCTACTCACAGTCACATTTCTTGCATTTTTCTCTCTTGTTGCGAATGGCGATAACAGGCAGAACAAAATGGACAATTCGCATACAAAATGCTCGTGCACAATAAATTATTCGGATGGCATAATAAAACCGGAAAAAAATCAAGAAGGCACAAATAAAAAGCAAATAGGTACATAAGAGGAAATACAAAGAGTACAGGAAAATTTGTTGAAAATTGTTGGCACGAGCAACGGGTCGTATGAGTGTTTATGCAGTTCTTTTCTTGACCACAGAATGTTACAATTTAAGAGCACTTGTTTCCGAGTCTATACATTGTAATTCTGAATAAAATATTGTGATTCTTGTACAGAGAAGAATTTCATGAGCAAGGGTTATGTATATGACTTCTCGATATTACTAAAGCTTATCACTCATACGTAGTGTTGACACTGGCAAAGAGTCGATTGACTGTTTATTTCAATTTTTTCGGACTTGAAATACAAACTTTTAAGAGTCCTGGGTTTAAAAAACAAAGTTTGTACATCTGAAGAAAAATTAAACATTAAATGTAAAGACTAATGAACTTTTATCTATAATAGTTTTAATATCAACAGTAAACCCCCAGTATTTGAAGAAGTTGTGCACTTACCAGCCAGTACAGAGGTGGAGTTGTGACGGGGATCGTAGGGGCATACCGCCTGTCCGTTTTTCGTGGCCTCCAGCGTGTAGTTGCTGTCGCTGATGATGTAAGTGTTGCACATTGGCCGGAACGAATTGGTGCCGCAAACGAAGAGGCGACCCGGCGATGGCACCACCATGATGCGAATGTAGTTCTGACAGGCCTCCTGAAAATGTTAAGAATAAAGAATTGTGTAAGATCGACTAGAAATATTCCCCTTACTATATTTATTAATCTCAGACAGGAATTAAAATAAAACAAGTTTATTTTGGGAATAAAATAGCAGAGTGGTAAGCAAAATAAATTTCAGTATTTGTTTTTCATTCTCAAAATAATGAATCATTGTCAATATAAAAACCTATCCTTCTAAAACAGTTCTTGCAAAAATAATATTAAACCCTGAATGATCGTGCCTCGACTGCAGTTATCAAATAAATACTTTACATAATTATATATTCCTCTTCTGATATTTTTTTAGTTCTTCAGTAAGCCATTTGGAAACTGTTTCAATTGTTTCACTGACCCTTGAATGCTTGAACTAGAGCAGTATTTACGTTGAACTCATATGGAACAGATGACAATGTGTGCAAGTCCCTCTTTGTCCCCATCTGTTTTGCATAAATGTTGCGCAAATTGTAATATTTAATGCGTAACGAAAGCACTTCGAAAACAAACAACGAATGTTCCCGGGGCGGTGCACCTGCAACCCAATAAATATTAAAAGGCAAATGCGCAACTTGCTCCTATTTAGAAGAGTCAGAACGAATACATAAGCGGCAGCGGCAACTTTTGCCATAGTGGCGGAAAATTGTTGGCTGACATTTCCGGCGCCACCACCACTACCGTCACCACCATCATCGAAACCATCCCAGTATGTCACCATTACAGCCGGAAGTGTTTGCACTCTAAATGACAAATCATTTGAAATACTCTCAGGCAGCAGTTTCCATTGTACACCTTTCCTGTGTGTTTAAACATTTTCACATTTTGTTTGTATGCTACTAATTTTCACAGTTCTTAGTTGCATTCATAACGAAAATAAACCGAGCAATTGTAAGGTATTTAACTATCCGCCAGTAATTATAGTCAAATAGGGATTTTTTTAACTTTTGTAGATTTTATGTTTTCCTCGAATTTTCATGCATTTGCAATGCAATTGTCACAACTTTGCCACATATAAATCGGACTTTGCTCTTCTTGCTGTCTTGTAATCACTCAGAACTCGTTTTCATTTAATTTAGTTTATCGTCCAGATATATTTAACATGTTCTGTACTTGTTTTGTGGGGCCAAACTGTTTGAGCATAAATTTAAATAAATTAACAAAAACAATTACATTAAGTCTAGGGGTTGGCTGTAAAGTTGTAGTTTTTGTTATTTCCCTTGTAATTAACATGCATAGCAGACACAGACAAACATGGTTTAGAATGCAATTAACTGTGAAATTTATTAATTTGCTTTCGAAATGTTGCGATAGGCATGGGCTGTTTGCCGCCGGTTAATGATGATTCTTATTTTAGTTTTTCCCAATAACTTGTCTCTCTTCCTCCTCATACAAAATGTATAATGAATTTATTCTGCCTAAAAATACTTTTATTTTGTTTTTAACCACAGTTTGTACAAGTTTGGAGTTTGGAATTTTAGTTATAAATAAATAAATATTGATGGCAAAAATTCAAACATAAATTGTGAATTATTGAGTGAGAGAAATCGGGGAATGTAATTCTGTTTTGGCCCTCAGGCTGTCTGAGTATTGTCGGTCATATTTCGGGTTCAAAAATTGTGAAATAAATGATTTTTAAGGCGTTGTTCTTGTGGCCTGGGTTCTCTGGTCCTGTCGTGTTTCAGCTTCATTAACGAAATTTTTGCTGTCTACCTAAAGGCATTTGGCAGCGGTCAAAAATATTCTTCAGCTTTATCTTGTAAAGTTTTCTTTCCTTCGACAATGAACAACGAAACTTTTTCGTTAAAGTTGTGGTCTGACTTGGCCATGTCAATTTTTAAATGTTTCTTGTTCATTTTTTTAAATGTTTTTTTCGTCAAACTTAAAGCTGAATAAGTGAAACTTATAACCTAATGAGCAGATAGTCGTTAGAAATTTCTGATTTGCATGGAAAGCCCAAACAAGTGGGTAAAACGAGTTGTGTGAAGAGAAAGCCAAAATGAATGAAAATGTATCCAGTACAATTTTGCATGGCCCTGCATAAATTCACCAGCATTTTCCAATCGAACAATGGGCGACTGCAATTCCACATTCAACCTGAGAATCTAAACTGGCAGATTTCTGGAAAAAGCCGTTTGCAAACCAAATCAAATGTTTAATGAGGACACAAGAGAATGCCAAATTGCCACGTACGAATGTGAAGCATTGTGGTTCGTTTAATGATTAGGGCCATAGTTCTATTTAATGAGGATATCTAACTGATTGGGAGAGATATTTGCACATTTACTATTACTCTCCAATTAAAAAATAGTTTATAATTATCGCAAAATGGAACATTTATATTTCAATGAAACATTATATTGTGTATCTGATCAGTGCAGCTACTCACTCCTATCCGCAATAGTTTTTTTTTATTCTTATTGATTTACTTGGTTAACTTATGTTAAATTCAATGGGCAACTTAAAAAAATTTTTGTCTCGTATATTGGTCAGTTTAACCTCGATGGCAGCGTTTGAATATTTAATAAAAAGCCCATGGTCAGTTTTTTGGATGAATGGATTGAACTTATATATATTGGCTGCTCATTTTGCCCATCACACCATCAAGTGTTTACGCAGTTTTAATAAAATTTTTACGAAAGAAATCAATTAATTAAACATTGTACAGCCCGCTGAATGCAAGCTGGTGGGGAAAAATGGTAAAAATAAGGTAAAGGAATATCATGTGAATTTGAATGACGACATATACGTATATGTTTTAACAAAAGGCCACTTTTTTCAGATTTTATTTCTTTGCATGGTCAACTTTTTATAGCGTGAGCTATAGCTATATGTTTGGACACCTTAAATGCATTCCGCATTTAAAAAGATTGCAGGCTTTTGCGACGCTCGTCCTTTGGCTGATTATCAACTTGATTAACTCGACGTTTTCGCATCCAAATTAGTGGCCAAAATGCCGGTTAATTAAAATTGTAAATTTTGAACTTTTCTTTTCATTTCTTCTTCTTCTGGCCAAACAATTGCAATTTATTTTTAGAGGGGAAAACCTTTTGTGTGAAACGGCAGTGCCGCACGCCATGGCTGGAAGTCCGAAGAAACTTAGGTGTTCTTTCCTCCCCTCTGATGCCATAAATAACGCGACCCACCCGTGCACAGACATATAAAGTGACCCCACTCAGGTGGAGCCGGCAAGCAAATTGAGTTCAACAAATTACACCTGCTAATGCTCTGGTTCGCCTTACTTTTGTTGCTCTTGCTGGCTGTGCAATTGCTGGCACGACCGGCCAACAAGTGTTGGCTAATTACGTGAGCAAAAAGCCAAACTTGAAGTGCACTTGAGCATGCACAGAAAAGGTGAAGAAAGTACTGGAAGGGCAGAAGAGGCAGCTTAAATTTGGGTTAAAAAGTTACTGAATTAAAAAAAAAAAACTTATAAGATTTAATAAAATGTACTTATATAATATTAATTTCATTAAATAATAATTTATTTTCTATTGTCTTTGAACCGGTTAATTTATTTATATAAGAGAAATATTTTCCAATTCTTACTAAAAATTAAATTTACGATTTAAAACTGTGCTGTTTGGTCTTCTACAAGAGTATGTGCAAGGCAGCATTTGGTCTAGTTGAGCGGAAACGGAAAACGAAACAAAAAACCAACCAACAAAGACAATTTGAAAGCCAAAATATTTGCCATTTCCATTAGGCAAAAGTTTGCTTTCAGACTTTGATTTTCTCTCCTCCCCTGGACTCAATTTACCCCGTTTCTCTTCTGCGCAACTGGCATTTTCTTAATAGGTCAACGGCAGTGGCGAAGAGTTTTCAATAAATTTCCTTGATTTCTTAGCCACAAAGAAGAAAAACACAAGACCGAGGCAACAACAGAAAAAGTTGCATAAATCAATTTCTTCTTGTATGGGGCACTTCTTCTTCATAGTTTTCCATGTTTTTAGCGCGAAAAAAGTTCAGATAGATGGCGAGAAAGAGAGAAACACTTTATTGCCTTGTTTTTGCATTTCTCTGGTAACGGAAGCAACAACCAAAGTTGAAATCGAAATGGAAATAGGAATGAAAATGGAAATTGCAAGGCCATTAAGGCAACGTTCTAAAAAGTTTATTAACAGAAAGGGAAAAAGCTATGGACGAAATAAAATATATATTTTGATTACCATTGTATTGAATATAGTTTTTAAAAGTTAATTGAATTGAATATAACTTAATATGTCAATTAAAACCAATTATTAAAACTAAAAACTCAAATATTGATGAGTGCTACAAAAATCACTAGCTTTTTAGATTATAAAGGTGGTAAAGCAATTTTCAAAATAGTTTCTATCCGGAAGTCTGGTTTTATTGTTCATTGCATAATTATTGATCGATTGCAAATTTTCACTCACCTCATCTTTGCCCTTGACGACACACATTTTGGTGTCATCCTCCGGCGACGTCCAGACCAAACGCTGCTGCTCGACGAGATCATGTATGCTTAAATTAAAAACCGTATTTCTGCAAAAGACAAACAAAAGGGAAATGGGATAAGAAAAGGTCCATCGCAAGTTTGTGGACTACAAATAAGTACAATTTGCCGCAGATAGAATTTTTGCGGTTCTCGTTTTATCATCCGTTTTATCAGTTGAGCACGGGGCAGCTGGCGATTGCGGAGAATTAATTAAAAAATTAATTAAAATTCATTTGGCCTTTTTGGGGAGCGGGCAATCGACACGCAGCCTGTGACCAGGACCACAAATAGTCGGCTCTGAACTGTGTTTTGTTTTCCTTTTAACCTTTTAACCTTTTACCCTCCTGTCGGCTCGACTGTGATATTTGTGCAGAAATTCCAAAATTCTCGTTAATAAAATTTTGCACACCCACATGTGGTGCTGCATGTTCGTGTGTGTGTGTGTGTCCGAATGCGACCCACAAAATGAAGTGGTGCAAGGATGGGCGTGTCACAGCCCCCGAATCCAGAGTTCGGGGGCGGAATTTCATAAAATCAACTCATTGATTATTAAAACCACAACTACGTGTGAGTGCAAGAGTGTGAGTGTGTGTGTATATGTGTGGTTAGTGCACCTTGGTGTGGGTGCACTTTGGTCGAACACTTTATGGCAAGCATATTCGGGGCTCACCCGAAAAACCTGCATAAACGACAGCCTTATCGAAGCTTTCCAAATTTGCTCTGCTCTAAATGCAGCAAAAAGAGCGGAAAATTTTGAATAAATATATAGATATGCAGATAGTATATTTGTGGGAGTACTGAGTTTGCATACAGATTGCCAAATTGAGTGAGGAACTGAAATGGAATGTGGAATATATAACTAATCAATAGGGTCATCTATATACATTCAAATTATTTTAGACAAAAATACATTTATTTTGAAACAAAACTTTTGGTGTCCTTTTTTGTTTCGCAGTTCAGCAGAAGAAAACGTGAACCAATGAATACCAAGATTGGAAACAAAATTAACAAAATTAAGCGAAATTGCCATAATGTTCAGTTAGCAGAGTCACTCTTCAAACGAATAGTTGGATAAGCTACAAAATAAGTGCACGCTAGGCATGCGGATAGCAAACTGCGATTGCAGTGGGGAAAAGGACACCTCCCAGAACAGGACACGGCCTTTGTTTGGCAATTATGCAGCGCGTTTTAATTATGACAACGGCAAAAGGCAACTTCAAACGAACGTGCACCATCAGCAGCATCGCAGGACAGCAGCGAAATCAGCAGAGTTGCTGCAGCTGCATTCTTCCTTTTCCACGGCTTTCACTGCCTGCTGTTTCCGTTGCCAGGACGCATATATAGCCAGGCTACATGCGTACGTATGTACACATAAAATGCGCTGAACCAAATTAGCATATAAAGGGGACAGTCGCCGTAATGGGTTGGACCTGGAAAGCTAGAAAGGCAGGTACAAGAGCTCAAATGTTGCTGATAGGTTAAGGGAACCGTGCTAGGAACATTGCCTCCGACAAAACATGGATACGCTGCTGAAAGATACATAAAACTTATATAGAGAGCTTAAGAAAACCAGTGAAAACTATCCAAAAATATCTATCATATTCCCAAAAAAAATGTAAGGCTTTTAAAACTTTTCTTTTTTTTTAACTTTGAAAACCTCAAAGATTAGCATTTAATTTCTTTTTAACGGAACTGCAATTTTTCTTTAACAAAAAATTAAAAATATTTAGCTTCAGAATTTTTTAATTTTTAATGCAGGAAAAAGATCACCGGTTTACCTATTAAATAAGCTTCACTACTATTATTGGATAACCTATTTCTATGTTGAATGCAGGAATAGTAAAATAAAAAAGAAAGGAAATGTGGTTTAAAGGGTGTACAAATTGCTGGTGTAGCTGTCGGTTGGTCGGCTTGCAACCCGCACAAACACATAAACACTTTAGCGCATTGCTTAGCACACATACGCAGAGTGCAACAAGCAATGCAAACGCTTGTGAAAATGTCGCGGAAAATGCCAAAGAGAGGTGAATGCAAAGGGAAATTCGACGTGGAAATAGGATAGATGCATGTATGTGTGTAGAGTGGAGTGGAGTGGAGTGGAGTGGAGCATTTTAAAGAACGCATTTGGCGTGAAAACCGAGCTCATAAATATTTTCCACACGGCGTAGTGTGTTAGTGTTGCAGTTGTCCCAGTTGCTGTTGTAGTTGCCTGCCAGCAGTGAACGCAACGATTACGCCAGGATTTCCACTGCTTTGGCTCGCATTATCCAGCCCTTGTTGTACTTGTTCTTGTTGCCACCCCCCCTGGCTGCAGTTGCACATTTAGCATTCCTTGTTGTTGCCGCTGCTTTGCAGTTTATTATTATGCAGCTTAAGCGCAGTTGGCAAATATAAAGGGAAATATGTGCGGAGTTCCTCCATGAAAACGTTTACATTTTGTGGGATAAAACGCAGGCGATAATGAGGCAGCTCGATGCCAACGAAATCGGCCAGGCCCATGTTGAGATACATGGGGGCTCCTGTTGGCAATAAGCTTAAAATTAAACGAACGGTTTGAGAAAATATAGTTCTGATCATACAGCTAGTGAGAAACGTATTTCAAGACAATACTTTTGAAGAAGTAGGAGATATCGTATTTGGTTAATATATTTTAAAGCTTTTTATATAAATAGCTCAATAATTGTTAGCCAAAGCGAACGTTAGCTGCACTAAAACTGCTTACTCTTAAACCACAACCGAAATGTATATTTAGGCAAGAGCTTTTAATTTTAATGAAACATAAAATGTGACAAACCAGCCCCAATTAAAGGATAAATTTGGGAAATATATTTACGAGCGTGTATGTGTTAACGATAACAAGGCAAATCAGGCAAAACAACATTTTGCGTGGTAACCATTTGATGGCAGGCCATGGTTTGAAATACCTGCGGTTTGGGCAAATGCCATTCGACCCCAAAATCATTCGTGGTTTATACTAGCATGATCCGAACACGAATCAATTTTAGGCCATATATATTTATATAATATAAATTCAAAGTATGGGCACTTCCAATTGCGAATACCTTAAAAATAAAATATAATGTCAGCGAATGAAATGAATAGGTGTGTAGCGAGAAAAAAAAACTAAAAAAAATATAATAAAATATAAATTCGTTGAAATTTCTAAAAGCACAATTTTTTTTTTCAAAATATTCAGAAAAAAAAATAAATTAATTAAGTTTTGAATGCCTGCCAGATACAAAATAACGTGCACACATCGAACATTCCCCATTTATTTGCCAGAAACAAATTTAAATATATTTAAAATCCACTTTTGGTTCCTCGCCGTCTTTAACCAACCGACAACCAACAAACAAATCAACCATACGCCACGTTGCCAGCCATCCGAACAGCAAAAACAACAAGGACAACCAGCAGGGAAAACAAAACCCGCAGGCAGGACCCTTTTCAAATATCAGCTGAGTGCAAAGAGGCAACACGAAACAAAGCCGCATGCACATAAATAACGAGATTGCGGTCGAGAAGACCTCGAAAACCTCGAAGAGGGTACATATAGAGGGTATCAGTCATAAAATAGATTGAAGAAATGTGTAACGTGGCAAGACGAAGGCGGGGAATGAAGCTCGTTTCGCCGTCGCTGCCGCTGCCATTTTCGTGGTTTGACCCACAAAAAGTATCGAGTACAGACAGAACAAGGCAAAGTCCCCAAACAAAAACATTAAGTCTAGACCCAAATAAAGGAAACCACAGAAAAAGATGAGACACATAAAAAATTACTCATACGCAACGTTGCAGGCTTTCTTTCACGACCTCGCTTAGTCAGACAACTTGTTTCTCTTTTCCATTATAAATAACACCACTTGAATGATTGATTTGATTTGCACTTTGTTTTCATGGTGTTTTCATTTTCTCTTTTTGAAAATGCTAACGTGACATGTAAACATTTGGGAATTAGGTAAATTAACAGGATCTGATATTCCTATCGTGTAACGAATGGAAATTATTGCCGTGCCATTTAAATAAGCAACATTCTCTTGATTTTCGTTTTAATAATCGAGCTACGTGAAGAAGTCTTAGGAATTGTGTGACTTTATTTTGCTAAGTTTATTGGGCTTGTTATGCAAATTTCTAAAGCAAGACATGAGCAGGAGTGCATTTATTTCGCAACCTTAAATTTAGTATTTAAAGCCTTAAAGTATACATTCAAAAATATTTGCTTTGTAAAACTGTAGAAACTTTAATTTAGAGAATACAAGATTTTGAGATTGTTTAAATTTCTTTAAGAAAGTGTAATAGTTTATGCAAACCAATTTAAAATTTGTTTAATGCCGATAACTATTTTGATAAGCGCTGCAGAACACTTCTTTTCCGTAAATCAATTCCATATCTCCATAAATTCCCTTTGAATGGCCAATGAAGATGGCAAATTGCAGGACTGAATTCATCAGGAGAAATGCCAGCCAACGTTCAATGTCACACGTCATCAGCGCCCCAAAGGAATGCCCGAAGGCAATCAGAGAAAAGAACACTCGACTTCCGGAATGCATTGATGCATTGATGCGTTGATGCCGATTCCGATGCCGATGCCGATTCCGATTCCAAATCCGAAGCCGTATTCGATGCAGAAAAAGCCTGCGGGGTTGGTATGTGGGTTGACATAACGGTAAATGGCTTTTCTGAATAGCTAAGCAAATCAGCCGAACTTCTCATGTTTCTACGCTTTCGAGGCTTTTCGGTTGCGCAAAATTTATGTTTGTCACCGCCATTTGCATGTGCTCGGTGTGTGTGTGTGTGTGAAATGGCTGCCATTGCAAAAAATTATTGAAGCGCAGCGAAGAAAGGGGAAATCCCCCCCCCCCCCACACACACACACATATCCAACACATCCATCACCATTTCGAGTTGAGCTTTTGTCATTTTTCATTGACTTTTTGACTCTGTCAGGGATACGGCTTCGACTTCAACTTCATTCCACATCACTCGATGATGCTGACTAAGCCAATTCAGGGTTCGGGACTCTGGATGCCCCTATTATACACTGAAAGCTAAACAAACCTTTTTAATTGAAAATATTTTTTCGAAAGGCTGCACACCAAAACCAGTTTTGCAGTTTTACACAATTTAAGGGGTTCTTCTACTCCAGAGGTGAGAAATTATCTTATTTGGCTAGGCATAGCGGTATGTTTTGTGAACAACTGGAAAAAAAATTATTAAAATTGGTCTAGTTCTTCTACAAAAAGACTTACTCGACAGTTAAAAAAAACTACTTTGGGGAAAGCGCGTTTATAGTGTACAGTGTATACCCTGATTGAAATAGGTACCTTACGGCCACCAGGAACATGCGAAAAAATATTATTTCGACAAAATTCTTTTACAGCGAAATTGTAGTTTTTAGCTCTTCTTTGCAAGGGAATATTTTGTGTAGTGCATGCCTCGGCAAGGATCCCGGTTGACGGTGTTCGAATTTCCATGTTATTGACCAAAGTTTTTTCTTATGTGCAAAAAGCCAAACCCAACGATACCAATTCAGCCCACCAAACCCCTAACAGAACCACGTCATACCGTTCCATTCACTCAATGGAGGCAGAAAATGTCGAAACTGTCAAATGCCAAAAACCCAAATGTGAATTGCCCGAGCTGAGCTGACCCACAACTTGATATCGTTGTAGTTGCAACACCCCCATAGTATTACCCACCCACCAAACCAATCAGTCCAGTTAACCAGGTGGTGGCATTTGACATTTGCCCTTTGGCCAAGTGATGTGCGAAGCGTTTGTTCCTGGCCACAGGCAAACATGCCAAAGCGAATTGCATTTCATCATTGTGGTCTCATAAGCATGATTAAACTCCAACTCGGCTCCGAAATTGGACATTCTTCGCAAAGCCACATAAAATATTAACTGCATTTTGGGTCGATTTTAACTTAATGAGTCTAGGACAGACGGCTTTGACCTGGACATCTGTCTGCCATTCTAAAATTACAAAACCGGGGCACCATAAGAACAAAAGAGAGACAAAGAAGGATATCGGTTTTATCATGGATTTTTTCACAAAAAAAGTCTTACAGGTAAAATAACTGAAAAAATATCTAAAAGCATTTTTTCCCCGATTGTTCCAATGGGAGCTATATAAAATTATAAAGGGTATAAAAGGACTTATAAAAAATTCAATTTTGTTAAACTTTACTCATTTTAAATCCACTTCTAATTCATCAATTAAAACCAAGTCAACTGTATAAGGAAATCCACATTTTTGAGAAGATATTTACAAATTCTTTACAAAGAATAGACAAAAGGACAAGGACTTACAATAAATACCTAAACCGGAAATCTGTTCTCTGGACAATGGCATAGACTAGGGTTTAAACAATAGCACATCACAAACAATGACTTTAGACTAACGTAGGCTTTTAAGCCACTGTTGACATGGCCCAACAATTCAATTGGGAAATCCTTCAATCCATTCATTAGGACGATTACATTTCAATCCTAAGGGGCTGATGGAATTGGCCACGCAGAAGTGGTCTTAAATCGTCAGAAATTAGCGGATGCATTCGGCACTCACACATAAACGCGGTTGTGAGCAAAAACCAGCACAAACGGAAATGAATTTGCGGTGCAGAAATGATTGTTGTGCGGTTGCACAAAGGACCCAGCTCACACACAAATATGCACTGTGCCGACACAAGAACAAGAACACAATGAAATAAAAGATGGACACCGCCGAGCGAATGAACGCATGTTTGTGAGTAAAGGAATTTTCAGACCTGCCGACAAAAGGAAAATTGCATACAAAAATTGGATCGTCCAATGCAAGTGAACAGTGGAGCAAATATATTATGAAATGATATAACAAAAAAATAGATTCGGCCCTAATTACATAGGATATCAAAATGCTCTTAAGAAAAACTATTTTGTAATAAATTAAAAATTAGACAGCATAAAAACACTGGCTTTTCTATAGAGCGCATTAAAACTAATTGTATATTTACTTCTGAAATTAATAATTTATATTTTTAATTTAATTAAAAAGCGTATATAAGCCACTGTGCACTCCCGACGATTGCGTTGAAAAAGACGTTAAAAGCCGAAAGATATGCTGACATATAGAGCACACTCGAGCTTAAAACGTGAGAGACAAAGACAGCAACACAGTCAGAGGGGGATAGCGAACGAATCAAGGCCCGTTAGGCAACGAATTGGATTTTTTCTTTGTTCGTTTAGCAATTTTATTTCCGCCTTTGTCGCGATTCATTCGATTGCCTGCCAACCTGACATGGAGGGAATGGAACGGAAACGCACGGGCGGAACGGACTGAAGTGGTAGTTGCGATGGCATGCCATGGAATGTGGCAATGACAGCAGGGAAAACGTTGGCACATATTTCCCATCTTAATGTGTTAACCCAATTTTCATGTCGAGCGCATTGCTGAGGAATATTTATAGATCGCAGCGAGCAAATCTAAAAGTGGAGGGGAAAAGCTTTACGAACATTTACCCCCGACTTGCTGCAGTGTAGAGGTGGTGTCCGCGTTAAGACAAGCACTTTCAGCTTATTTGCATAAGTGTCACAAGAGATACCAAGCGTAATGGCTAAGGTAGTTAGCGCAATGAGTTTAAAGTTTAACGAAAGACCAACAATCCTAATAAAAATAAAAGTGAAAGGTTTCAGTAATTCTGCTTAAGAATTAAACTTTCCTACTGCAGCTGTAGTTAATTGGAGTGGAAAATAAAACAACATATTAAAGAAAACGTTTATAGGAGTTTAGAAATCCTTTTTGCATGACTGACATAAGATGCGGGATAAAACTAAAAACACGGTACCTGCTATGCCACAGGAAATGTAACGGTATAGCTATGCCATGAAATAGGGGCGTTCAGGAGGTCTGGTTTGTAGTTCTCTTGCGAACCTTCCTTTCCACTCTTTTGTTTTTTTTTTTTACATTGTTCATGACGTTTCACATGCAAAACGCGTGTCACATTCGCATTTCCGCCTGTCATCCTAGTTTAGTTGGTCCACCCTACCAACCGCTACACCCGAAAAAGCACACCTACCCGCACGCACACTGCATAACCCAAGCCCACGCACACACCCAAACACACGTGGCGCTTTTTGGCTTTCACCAACAGTCGACGGAGAGGTTTCCTTTGGTTACTTTGACTCTTTCGGGGTCTGATAAGTGGATATGTGCGTGTGTGAATTCCTTTTCGCAGTGCGAGTGTGCAACTTGTTAAAAATCCATTAATCACGTAAGTGGCAACTCTGGCAACGACATTGCCGGCATACAAATTTGTTCATGCGTGTGAAAAAAAAAGGAATGGGAAATCCTCACCCGCACTACTTTTCGCCCCTGTATGTCAGAGTGTGTGAGAAAATGTCTGCGTGGGTCTCCTTTCCCGTAATTTTCCTGCTTTCGTTATTTGGTTATGCTTTTGCATTTTACTGCCTCATTATCCTTACATTGTAAATGGTTCTGCTGGAAAACTGCTTAAACGTTATTTATAGAATCTGTTTGGACAAATTATTTTGTAGATTTATTTTGTAGATAATTCAAAAACAATAGCACAAAATTGTGGGGCAATATTAAACAAAGATTACGAATAAAATTAATTAATTAATTAATAATAATAACATTTTTAATTTTAAAATGTAAACCCACTTTATTATAAATTTATTATCTTAACTTTGAACTGAGTTTAAGAAAAGACAAAGAAACTTAAAATCTTTTATTACAAACATGCATTTGTAAAATAAATTTGGTATTTTGAAAACGAAAAATTAAAGCACTGGAATTTTGGGTTTGCAATCTTAACCTGTTTAACTTGAAATTTTATTTTATTTATTTATTTATATTTATTTTTATCCCTCTCAATGACCACAAACTATTTTAAGTTTCAGACACGTCTGGACTTTTCCCATTGTACTTTTTGATAAAGGAATTCGGTTCCATGTGTTAATGCCTTCTATTACAAGCTGCAAGCATTCCTAGACTAAAAAAAGTTTGCACAGCGCCATACACGAAGACAAAGAATCAAGCGAGTTTATTAAGTCTAGTTGGGCCCCAAAATGTGTGCAACATTTTAATATGTACGTCAGTGCATTGTCCAAGTGTATGTGTTTATGTGGGTATGTGCTCATATACTGGCATTGTCTAGGCAAAATATAATAAACCCAACATTTGCCTCAGAATATTTTGCGGTCTGTGACAACGACAAAATATACAATACAGTCGCCTTACCCAGAGAAAAGCGCTAGAGTCTTACGCAACCCTGGCAACCCTGGCAACCCTTTAAGTCTTCTGGGGCTATATCTCGAGTAGGAAGTACTGGAAACTTTAGCACAGTTCCTCATATCTTTGGGGCACCTGCTGCAAAAGTTTCCGCTTCCTTTCGCACTGGTTTTTGTTTCTCTTGCCAGCGTTGCAAAATCAAAGTTGCCACGAACTAGCTACGGGTAGACTTTTCCACACTCCCAAACTCACCATATTTCCCATTTTTGGCCCTGAGAAAAGTTCTCATGTTTATACGAGCAAATATGGGGAAGTGAACATGCTCCTATCTTCTACTTAAATTAAATACAATGTCTGCGAAAAGTAAATTGAAGTTTGCTTTATATGCCTTTTTCACTTGCCCTTATCCTTTCCAATTTCAGAATGTTCTCGCTTTTGCTCTGCCGAAGAAGTTTCATTTAATTCTCATGTTCAACTAATTCTCTGGAGCCGACTTACCCGGAATCTATACATTGGGGAATTGACATTGTAGCGAAGTCAAAGAGGATATTTTTGGAAAATTTAATTGAATGCACTTTAGCTCTTGTTTCGCAACTTAATATATATTTTAAGTGCAATTAAGGTAATTTATTTAAATATTCGATTGGAAATTTAGCTGCTTATTTAGAAAAAATAAAGGATATATAGAGTCTTACCTGGCACCGATGAGCAGACTGTTGCCATCCCTGGTGACGAGCTTGAAGTGATCCACGACACTTTCGTTACCCACAAACTTTAGTACATCTTCGGGACCTGCAAAACGGAAAGAACAGAGGATTATAAATAAATTGCACCGGGCAGCAGGGGAAAGTGGGTTGAAAATGGCTGGGAGACAGATGAGTTGGCCGGATGGTTTTGGTTCGGCCAGCAAATGCCTAATTAGGCAATTAGGCAGCGTTAAAGGCGACAAAAAGCAGTTGAGAAGAATGGAAAAAGGCAAGCGGATAATCTGGCGGCACAGAGAAAAAAAGGGATGCGGAAAATGCTGCCACATGGCGGAGCTTAGAGAAACGTTGCAGCTGGAGTTGGAAAATGGGAAATGAAAATGGGGCTTGGTGTCCTGATGGCAACTTTCCCCCCATAGATATGCAAAAAAGGGGGCAGATGCACCAAGAATAGCCCGTTTAGCAACACCAACATAATCAGCAGCTGCAAGTACATTTTTTGTCCTTCGTTTACTTGGGTTACTTGCATCTGCTTTTTGCACCCGTTCCGGAAAATCTTTGTTACTTGCCACTTGCCACAAATTGCCGCCAGTTCATCTATCTGACTGACTGATAACAAGAAAACCAGTTGCCAAGGGTCTTTTAAGCCGAAAGACACATTTTGAAATTCAGATAAATCATACAGTGTTTTAGGTAAAATGAAAAACAAACTATGTACTTTGGTAAACCATTATAAATATAATTTTGAAATATTTTGGATTTTGTCTAAGGTCTTAAAAACTAACCATATTCCCTACATGTTTTTCAAAAACTTTGTAGCCCTTGTATCTCTTTTTTTTAAGACTTTTAACGTAAAGAAACAAAATTACGCATACGACATGTATCCAATTTTGTATACACAAAATAGTTATGTTTATGATTGACACACAATTCGGATCCCACTTTAACATTAAGGTGTAGACTTCACGTTTTTATCTCACTTTAAAAACATCATTGATGCTCTTCTTTTGCACAATTTTTTGCCTTTTCAGCAAGCTTTTAACTTTTAACTGCAAATGTTCGGTCAACCACAAAAGAGCGAACAATTTTTCCGCGTTTTTTTAACCAATGTCCTTTTCAACGCGGAAATGGCAGCGCAGAAGAGGGCTGGGAAATGCCACCTGGTTATTGAAAGCGCATTTGGACGCATTTCATGCTCGTCCACTTTTCATTTCAACGGTTGAGGATAAAAAACCAAAAACTGCAAAAAACGAACGCCAAAGTTAATGGGTAGAATGAACGCTTTTATGCACGAGACAGAAGAGCCTTTTGTTTGCTTGACATTTAACGTGACACGCGGGACATGTGCACAACTGTAGGGGTGGTGTTTCGAATTTTTCAGGGCGGGAGAAGTGTGCCAACTACAGGAAAAGTTAAAACCTGGACCCGCAGCAACAGAGCCCTTCAAATGAAGCAACATTTTTTTAATTTGGCTCTGTAATTAAAAGTAACAAAAGCAGCAAAAAGCAGCCGAAGGAAAGGAAAATGAAACGAAACAAAACAAAAGCTAAAGAAAGTCAGGGAAAATGAAAGCAACGAATGGAAAATAATTATTGCAGACAAAAACATGAGAAATGCTTACGGTAGAAGGATAGACAAACAAGATGGCATTACATAATATAGAGGTTGGAAAAATGAAGAATTTACAAAATATTAAATATAAAAGTTAAATAGAAAGCAGTTTGGTTATTCTCCTATATAAATGTCGAATTATTATTTTTAATTTGATTTCTATTCAATAGATTTATATTTTTAAACTTTAAAAACCAATTAGTAATACTTAAGCACAAATAATAGAGACAATTATAAATCATAAATTTTATTTTAAGTGAAAATATTAAAGAAAACTTTGCAATATTAATAGCTAGAACCATTTGCTGTTTAAAATATTTAAAATTATTGTTACTTGACAATATTAATAGCTAGAACCATTTGCTATTTAAAATATTTAAAATTATTGTTACTGATTTGAAGTCTAAGTCTCCTCGTCATTTTCTCTACTTTCTCTTCAGTTATTTTTCAAGACGATTCATAAAGCTTAGCCATTTCGCTCAACCATTCTCATTTGTATGATAATGATTCTCATTTGTTGTCTTCGCAGCTTTTCCTCACCCACAAAAGGCCGCTGCCAGCCCATCTCATTACTCAGCCTGTTCCCCGAAGCACTTTTTGTGGTAGTAGAAGTCCAACTTTTGTTTAATGCCACCGCGGGCCTTTTGTCGACCTGGCCAAAAACTTTGTAAGCCCAAAATTGTAAGCCAATATTTGCCTTACCTACATCTGCATACAATACCACGCGCACACACATTCATCTGCATAGAGTCAAAAGTGGAAACGGAAAAGAGCGAGAAATTCCGCAACCAAAAATCTAATATTTACCTTGACTTTACAAAAAGCAAACGGCAAACTAAAAAAGCGTTCCCCCGACCAATTTTCGTTCCCCATGAGCACACTCGCATAGTAACATGCACATACATATAGAGGTATGTATATTTGAACAAAGGGCCGTCCATCCAGACAGGAAAAGGAAAGAAAAGGGAACCGAGTCTATCACTTTAATCAACTGGACCGTCTGACTGCTCGAAATTATGCAAATTCAACGGAAAATAAAGTAAAATTTCTGACGTACGGCATCTAGCAAGTGGACTGAAGTGAAGTGAAGTGAAGTGAAGTAGAGTGGAGTGGATTGGAGTGGAGTCCTCCGTGTTTGACATTGACTTGCGGACGTGACCGTGCAAGGACCAAGCAACTTAATGGTCAACTTGGTCAACTTCATCGCCACCACCTTTTGCACACACAAATCACAAAAAGCGAGCGGTGCGGCAGAGGCAGAGGAAGAGGCTAACAAATAAGCTGATTATTAAATATTTTCTTAATGAATTTTTCATTTGCACTTGCGGAATTCTCGGCATATTTGCTCATGATGCCGTTCACTAGCAGGTGCGATGACCATTCGCGCAGCTCTCATTCTTTTTGCAAGCCATTCCCAGGCAGCCTGGCCAGCCAGGCCACCGAAAGGCAGACAACAATGCAGCATTAAAAATGCAAAAACCTTTTCTTAAATGCAAGCCAAATGTAGCTCTTAGTGCTGCCAAGAGAAATAGCAGAGAAAAGGCGGTGATAAAAACGGCTAAAAGGCACCGTCACTAACGCACAGCAGAAAGGAAGCGGCAGTCTGTCAATAATAAAGGCTTCCGGAGGAAAAATGCAAAACGGGCGTCTTCTGGACTCCTAAGCTGGTTATGAATCGCATACAAGTAGATGTTTACAAAATGCACGGAAAAACTTTAACATAATTGTCTATATTGGTAAAAAATATGTTCAACAATTTTATTTTTTAAATTCAGCTTTTTATTGTAAGTACTTTTCTATTATAGCACAAACACAAACATATTTTTTTAAAAATGTAATCTATTTCGTTTTGTGTGTGCTCTTTTTATAAAGTGGTATATAAACCTATTATTTCACAAGCTTGTCGTTATCACTAAGTCCCATTGAATACTCTTACATAAAAACAATACAACACAAACTCACAAATCAGTGTAAGAGGCACATGAATGTAAGAACTTTGTTTCCACGAATATAATTGGGAGAACTACAGATTTTTGTATATGTTTTCACATGGGGATTGGCAAAAAAAAAAGAGCTGATAAGGCAAAAAACAAGTGTAATCTACAAACAAAGAAATAAATAGCAATTCAATGCCCCAATTAATGGGCAACTAAAAGTCTTCCCCCAAAAATTAACAGAAAGTGAAAAGCATGGGCTAGATTATTAATGAAACAAAATAAGTCAAGGCTTTATTGATTACCAGAAGTTGACAAACATATTCTTTACTCAAATTGAATTTATGTCAAATGTGTTATAAATTTTTAGTTAGCTTTAGTACCCTTTGACAGTATCTACCAAACCCTACACTTTTCTTCCGGATTTAATGGCGCGGATGTTGGGCAGCTGAAGATTTCGCCAAAGTGTGGCAGATTTTTCACCGACTCGCTGATGAGCGCAGTGTCCGATTCAGATTCAAAATATGACAAATACTTCTCAGTGCCCACGAACTCCTGGGCATAATTGAATAGAAAGAGCTGCTTCAACGGCACATCGGTAAATTCGGGTTGATTCTGATTGAACTCGGAGTTATTCCCAAAGTAGGTTTCGTAGATTAGGTCCAGACTGGCCACATAGGATGCCCGTTTGTTGATTTCCTTGGCGTGTGTCCGATTTAAACAAGACAGGGCATCGATATAGCCCTGATTACCCTCGAAATCTCTTAGAATTTGTCCAAGGTTTCCTTGACTGTCAACATGCAGGAAATATGGCTCAAAGGCATTCAAAATCGGTCGAGCCAAGCTGAAGCCCATTAGACTCATTTTGAAGACGTCATGACTTTCGGGCACAAAAAACGGCTCATTCAGCATATCGAAGGGCACGACGATTGTGTTACCACTTGCAAAGAAACGGGGCTTGGGATCCTTAAATGGCAGTTCGTCAAAGAGCAGAAAGAAACCAGTGGCCTTGGGAACAGGTCCATCAAGTTGTTTTAGAACTCGACGCGTTCGGTGCTCCATTACTTTCAGCTGAGCTCCGGCGAAATTAGGCTCCGTGTCCAGTTCCAAATCTTCGTAGAAATTGGTGACGAAGCGGCGATGATTTACATCATGCGGCATTTTTCCCACTGTCACCGTCATGGCGAGCAGTTTCTGTTGCAGATGGGAGACTTCCTTGTCGGTCAAGTGGAAGCGATTCTCCTCTAACTTATTCAAAAAAGTTTGCGATAAAGCATCGAAGAGTCGCTGAACTTCTTTGGTGTACTTCTCGAACTTTCCCTGTCCCAGATAATAGTTTTTGTAGAGCAGATCGCTGGCCAGCTCCATTTGCACTGCGACGGCAGCGGCACACTTGGGTGCTCCTTTAAGTAGGCTTCCATCCAAGTCTAGGAAGAAGAGGCTGAGTTGAGCCAAAAGGTAGTTGACCACCACCTCGTTGTCGTACCTTCCGAGGACTCCGTTTATACCCTCCAGATACTCCATGTTATGTATGTAGATTTCA